CAGAGTGATGGCTGTGTTAAGACTTAAAGGATGCATCGTTGTAGAAATGACAGCCAGTTTACATGTGCATTGCAAAGGTGAACCTTTTAGATATGTTAGAAACAGAACTAAAGATTATTAACCACGAACATAAGATATCTGAGAAGAGATGAAATGAGAAATGAAGTCATTAGACAACACGACGGGACAGAACCAATTCTACATTACGTACACAAACAGCAAGTGAAGTGGTTTTCCCACTTGGTGAGAATGTCTCATGACGCCCTATCATATAAAGCTTAAAAGAACAGACGAGGAAGGTGTAGAGAGCAGGATAGACCAAAAACAAGATGACATCAGAGAAACTCTTCAACAGCACTATAGGTCTGTTGTCGAGACGACCACACCAGCAAGAAGCAGAATCCTTTGTATCCATGGACGCCAGAATGGGTAAAAGAGGAGGCGAAGAAAAAAAAAGAGGGGGAGAAGAGAGAAACATTAGAAGAAGAAACAGAATAAGAAGAAAGCAGTGGTAAGAAAGATGCTTTTAATTGGCCTATACTGCTTTTAATGGCCTCATCCATCTGCTATATGTGCACAATATGAGAATGTGTTGACTTGAATAAGCATCTTCATGTCTGTCTCCTGTTGCACACATTGTCAATAAGTTATAAACTGACACATTCTCAGGTCTCATGGGTCTCTCCCCTTCAAGTGTGCAGCTGACTTGCGGGTCTTCTAACCACGCATAGAAATTATCATTTCATAAGTATATATATATATATATATATATATATATATATATATATATATATATATATATATATATATATATATATATATATATATACATATATATACATATATATACATATATATATAGAGAGAGAGAGAGAGAAAGAGAGAGAGAGAGAAGACAGGGTGTGCCGACTTTACAGATTTCCGTAAAAAGGGAGAGGGGGGGGGGGGGGGGTCATTTTTTCGAGTTCCCACATTCCCCGAGAACATTTATGAAGTCGTCACCTTGTCCTAGACCAACTTAGGGGCACTGTTGCCCAACCTTTTGCCTCTGACTGTAGCAGACATTTGTCTTACCAACTGCGCCCTCATGTCGCTGGCCTTAAAATACAGAGCCTGTGAAACATGGAAACAAACGGCAGCAAAGATATCAATGTGGTGCTTCGTGCGGCATGCTCACAATCATAAACCGGATTTACGTGCTCATTTCTAGCCCCTTCTCCTAACGCTTGCTCCCCGGTGACAAATGAGTTCTTGTCTGACGCCAGCGCCACAAAACAGATCTGGAATCAAACAGAATCCCCGAAATCTCATATCTTCTGTTATGAAAGATCGTTTGTAAGCTGCAAATGGTTGTGAATTTGATTCTTGGATACATCAACAAATGTTGACTTAAATGCCAGCTTTGCGGCAACATTGATGGATTGTTGCATGCTTTCTTTGTGTATCTGCGTGTTTTTCCCCCCTAATTATTTTCCTCCCTCTCTTTACCTCCTTAATTATTTCTTGCTCTTTGGCTTTCTCCCAGTAAATGTATTTCACACGTGCTGTCGTTTTCGTGTACTCTTTCTGTACTACTTCTCCCCCCCCCCCCCCCCTTCTCTCTCTCTCACTTCTCCCGTTTTTTCTCTAGTCTCTCTCGTTCTTCATTTCTGGAATGTCTGTCGCTTTGTATTTTCGAAGTCTTAGTCTGTTTCCTTGCTGTGCATTCTCTGTCATTACCGTGCTATCCCTTTCCCTCTCTGTCTCTCTTCCCCTCGCCTTCTCTCACTTGCTCGCTCTTTGTCTCTTTAATATCTATTTTCCTTTTTATTACTTCGTTTCTTGTACTCTCTATCTCTTTCTAGCTCATCTTGTCTATCCCTTTTTCCCCTGAAATGTATTTCCCACTCTTTCCTTCTATTTCTCTCTCTCTCTTTCTTTCTCTCTCTCTCTCTTTCTCTCTCTCTTTCTCTCTACTCCTTCTGTCCCCAACTGTTACGCCCACGTCTCTACATCCCCCGCACAGATTACTAGGTTATCAATTATTCCCAATCACCATACACCTTGTGTTGTTTCCAGTGTTACCAGATCCATCCCTAGCCTGGCTGTTGCTGTAACAACCGCTGGCCCACGCAGTTACTACTCGAGGCCACCCCCCCCCCCCCCCACCTTCTCTCTCTCTCTCTCTCTAACAGGGGCGCGGACACAAAGAAACATCGCTGACCGTGCAATGGGCGTATGCCTTGTTGAAGTGCATAATAGTAAAGTAAGAATAAGGGTAATAATTGGTATTAGTGCTAAATTACAAATAAATTAAATGTTTCCATATTTGACGTGGGAGTGGTGTTGGCGGCTATAGACGCGCGCTGCGGGTCGGAAGGTCGTGGGTTCGCCTCCTGACGGAGCCTGACCTTTTGTTCAAAAATGACCTTAACTCCCTGGTCGACCTAGACTTCAGTGGTTACCAGGTGCAGTCTTGAGAAGTAAAGGCGGCCGGCACGATGCTGACCACATCACCCACTAAGTGCCAGTTGATCTATAAAACTATAAGTCTGGCCCTATATTCCCTAAAGGCGTGGAAAAGGGGACCTTTTATGTGACAAACCGTAACAATGTATCAGCAAATACAGAAGAGTGTATCTATTTATGACACTACCAGCAGTCTGAGTGTCTCTGTTACACATTTATGGAAGCACACACACACACACAGATGTACACACACAAGTGTAGATAATAAGAGAAACAATAACGTGGGGGGGGGGGGGGGGGGGCTTATTCTGTGTGGTTTTTTTTTTATGTATTTGTTTTCGTTTTACCTTTGTACAGTATATTGCTTAAGACATTTTAGCCGAAACGTTCATGTTCTCTGTCAGTTTACTCACGGCAGAATAACTGAAACCGTGATAAATGTAGTTATATCAACTGCCGTATACAAAGGGCGTCACATATACCAGTGTTCTTCAACCTGTTTACAGCCGTGGCCCACCGAAACAGTGGGACTTGTTTTGTGAACCACCTGACAGTTAACCAAACACAAAAGCAAATGTAGATGCAGTATTTTGTTTTTTAATTCGATGTCACAATAATTACAATTGTCAGCTAACGCTGCCGCTGTGAGGTTAGACAGTCTGTGTGGTTGAACAGTTTCTGTGATTTAAACCTGTTTTATTTTGATCCTTGATGTTTTAATCCTACAGACTTCAATCCTGGAAGAGAAACTACCTATCTTAACCCGTTACACGATAAACCAAACATTGCCGGCACACGTGGGCTTGTTGCCCACCGTTTCAAGAACACTGATATATACTACATCACAGAATCACTGGATAAATCATACCAGTCCCAATTCCCGGAAGATTTTCCTGTCCAACTCATAAACGTGACGACTCACTATTCTTTGTCCTGTCCAGCTTATAAACGTGACGACTGGCCATTCTTTGTCCTGTCCAGCTCACTCATAAACGTAACGGCTCGTCATTCTTTGTCCTGTCCAGCTCACTCATAATCGTGACGACTGGCATTTCTTTGTCCTGTCCAGCTTACTGGTAAACGTGACGACTGGTCATTCTTTGTCCTGTCCAGCTCACTCATAAACGTGACGACTGGCCATTCTTTGTCCTGTCCAGTTCACTCATAAACGTGACGACTGGCCATTCTTTGTCATGTCCAGCTCACTCATAAACGTGACGACTGGCCATTCTTTGTCCTGTCCAGCTCACTCATAAACGTGACGACTGGTCATTCTGTGTCCTGTTCAGCTCACTCATAAACGTGACGACTGACCATTATGTGTCCTGTTCAGCTCACTCATAAACGTGACGACTGGCCATTCTTTGTCCTGTTCAGCTCACTCATAAACGTGACGACTGGCCATTCTGTGTCCTGTTCGGCTCACTCATAAACGTGACGACTGACCATTCTGTGTCCTGTTCAGCTCACTCATAAACGTGACGACTGGCCATTCTTTGCCCTGTCCAGCTCACTCATAAACGTGACGACTGGCCATTTTTTGTCCTGTCCAGCTCATAAAATGTGACGACTCACCATTATTTATCACTCATAAATGTGACAACTCGCCATTGTTTGTCCTGTCCAGCTCATTAATGTGACGACTCGCCATTGTTTGTCCTGTCCAGCTCATTAATGTGACGACTCGCCATTGTTTGTCCTGTCCAACTCATAAATGTAACGAATCGCCATTGTTTGTCCTGTCCAGCTCATTATTGTGACGACTCGCCATTGTTTGTCCTGTCCAACTCATAAATGTAACGAATCGCCATTGTTTGTCCTGTCCAGCTCATTAATGTGACGACTCGCCATTGTTTGTCCTGTCCAACTCATAAATGTAACGAATCGCCATTCTTCACAAAACACCTCCAGAGTCACATAACCCAAAAATCGTTCATTCTTATAGTTGAGTTAGTTAGGATCGCTTCCCGTGTCTCCGGGCGTATTAAGCACCTAGACGTAGACCTATATTTTATAGAGCAATCGACACTCGATGGGTGCTCATTATGCCGGCTGGGTCGCTGTTGAACCAAGGTCATTTTTGAAGTAGGACACAAGAAAGTGACCGCACCCTAACCCACGACCCTTGGATCCGCAGGCGATGGTCCAGCAGCTACACCACGGCTGCTGCCACCGTTGAGATAGGTAAAATATTCCTTATTTCACCATGCGGGTTCAAGGGCCCGTGGGGGGGGGGGGGGGGGGGATATAACTGCCCCTAACAAGCATGTTGAGAACCGACTAATTAGGGGTTAGCTGAAAACGGATGTTGTGTATACCACAAAGCTGATTTAAAGACAAACTCAGCAGAAGAAGAAGAAGAAGAAGAAGAAGAAGAAGAAGAAGCACAAGAATAACAACAGCAGCAGCAAAAACAACAAGCAGAAGAAGGAGGCGGAAGGAGAAGACATCTGTTTTGTTTTCCTTGTTATAGTTTGGAGTCAGATAATACATTATATAAATTTTTTTTAACAATGTATTACAATATATCTACTTGTCTCCCTCTTTTACAGTTGGAGACTATACAAAAACAACTGGATAGCTTGAGCTGAGACAGGGCAATTTCATGACCGGGCCAGCGGCTGCGGTGTCCATCTTGTGTGAGGCTGTAAGAGGCTGTATGTTTTTCCAGCTTGACGTTCGATTGGGCTTTAATTTGATCCTCTGCTGATTGGGATGTCCAACAGCTTGGAGCATGGGAAGATAGATTGAAAGTTTGAGTCGAGTATGTTGCGGATAGGGTGGGGTCGATAGAATATAATTGTAAATTTTACTGGATACGTTAACCTTAGGGAGGGACAGTTTGGGTGTGATTGTCAAATATTTCGGGAAGTAAATAGAGTTTATATGCGCTGTTGACTTTGATATGTTTGTGGAAGGACGGTTTGTTTAACGTTGATACCGTTCTGTAACCGTAAAGGGCCCTTTCCACGCCAGTGTATGATGGTAGACTGCAATATTGTAAACACCAGTTGGCACTGGATTGGTGAAAACGCCAGCCGCCTTTATTTTCCACAATATTTCCTAGTACTAGTTTTAGGCTGGGTGCCAGTGTCACTTTTTTAAAGAAACAAAAAAAAAAAAACTGCTAAATGTGGATTGGAATCTGAGACATTCGGACTGGCAGGCAAGGAACTTAACAGTTCGCTACTTTACCTCTGCTTAGACGTGATAGATTATACTGAAATATTTTCAGTTAATATTTTAGTTTATATAGCTATGAAAATTGGTGCACAGCTAACAGAGAAGATGCCTTAGTTCAAATGTTTGAAAACAGAGTTTTGTAACGAATCTTTGCACCCATCAGAGATGCAAACAATGAAATTCATAATGTGTTCAGATCACCATTGATCACTGGCATTTTGAGGGATAATATACTGCAATGGCTGGGGTGTGATGAGGGAATATCTGATGGCACATAGCGACTATAAAACTATGTACACAGGAGAGCTGTATAGTTGCTGATCACAAGGCGTACCAGGAAGACAATAGAGAAATAATATCCAGATAAACCTAAAAACAATTAGTGTCAACAAGTAGAAAGAGAAGGCCAACCATGCGAAGGATTGGTGGCTGGGGATATCTGCAGAAATGAAACTCAGTGGCTCAGAATGCTGAAAAAGATGAAGAGACACAGTTGATAGAGTATTCAGATACTAGTAAGAAAACAGAAATAATATTCATTTGTCCAGATGCCTCATAATACATGCTTGAGCATCTCTGTTTTTGCATATTTCTTACAACTGCTGAGACATGTCCGCCCATGCCAGTTCTATTATGAGTATATCTCATGCAGACAGTCACTTAAAGGAACTACGTTAAGGCTGTATATCATGTTTACTCCAGTCTTTTATTTCTCATCCGACCAAAGGCCTTTAACTAACCCAAGATGTCCAGCCATCTCATGCTTTTCCCTGAAGCCGTCGACATCTGCTCCTGGTATTGTCCGTTCCTGTCTCTGATGATCTGTTCCATGAGTTGTCTCTTTGTATTTCTTGAAGATCTCCTGCTATGTCTTGTTAGGTTTCCTGTAAATGTTTTATTCTATTTTTGTTAGGTTTCCTCTAAATGTCTTATTCTATTTCTTGTTAGGTTTCCTGTAAATGTTTTATTCTATTTTTGTTAGGTTTCCTGTAAATGTCTTATTCTATTTCTTGTTAGGTTTCCTGTAAATGTCTTATTCTATTTCTTGTTAGGTTTCCTGTAAATGTTTTATTCTATTTCTTGTTAGGTTTCCTGTAAATGTCTTATTCTATGTCTTGTTAGGTTTCCTGTAAATGTCTTATTCTATTTCTTGTTAGGTTTCCTGTAAATGTCTTATTCTATGTCTTGTTAGGTTTCCTGTAAATGTCTTATTCTATTTCTTGTTAGGTTTCCTGTAAATGTCTTATTCTATGTCTTGTTAGGTTTCCTGTAAATGTCTTATTCTATTTCTTGTTAGGTTTCCTGTAAATGTCTTATTCTATGTCTTGTTAGGTTTCCTGTAAATGTCTTATTCTATGTCTTGTTAGGTTTCCTGTAAATGTTTTATTCTATTTTTGTTAGGTTTCCTCTAAATGTCTTATTCTATTTCTTGTTAGGTTTCCTGTAAATGTCTTATTCTATGTCTTGTTAGGTTTCCTGTAAATGTTTTATTCTATTTCTTGTTAGGTTTCCTGTAAATGTTTTATTCTATTTCTTGTTAGGTTTCCTGTAAATGTCTGATTCTATGTCTTGTTAGGTTTCCTGTAAATGTCTTATTCTATTTTTTGTTAGGTTTCCTGTAAATGTCTGATTCTATTTCTGTTAGGTCTTATTCTATTCTTTATCTCTCCTCTTCTGTTTCGTTTAGGTTCTCCTTTTATATCTGTAAGGTCTCTTCTCTTTCTGTTAGGTCTTTTATTTATTTTAGGTCTCCATCTATTTCTTTTAGGTCTCCTTAATTTTCTTTACATTCTGCTTCTCTTTATCTAAGGTCTCCTTCTCTTTTATTTTAGGGTTTTCTTCTCTTTATTGCAGGTTTTCTTGTATTTCTTTAAGGTCTCTATGTTTTTAAGGTCTCCTTTTGTTTCCTTAGACTCTGCCCCTGTTTATTTTAGATTCCCTTCCATGTTTTTTAAGTGCCCTTTCTGTTTCTCTAGAACCTGCTTTTTGTTTCTGTTAATTTCTACTCGGGGCTAATCCCACATTTCTCTAGACAGTGGTTCTTAACCTTTCTAACGCCGCGACCCTTTACTACAGTTCCTCATGCTGTGGTGACCCCCAACCATACAGTTAGTTTCCTTGCTACTTTCTAACTTAAATGAATACGTGTTTTTGCTATGGTATTTGGCAACCCCTGTGAAAATGTCTTTCGACCCAAAAAAGGGGTCGCATCCCACAAGTTGAGAACCACTGCTCTACTGAACCACTAATAGGCACTCAGTATGTGATGGGATTGGCAGTTCTTTACCTTGACTTTTATTTCCCAGGACATTTCCCAAACCCATTTGAGGTTAATTTGACTTGTGAGCCACAATCACGGATGCCTTCTAGGCTAGTAGTGTTTAGTTAAATAATGCTACAACGGTTTGTGTGTGTGTGTGTGTGTGAGGTCACGTCTGCTGCTTTGTTTAACATATTTATATTGTTGCCCAGATTTGATTTTTCCAACATACTTTTTTTCAACAGATTGATAATTTCAGTTGCAAACCAAATAAAATATTATGTTTCCAATGTTGTTTTCTTTTTTTTGGACATAGATATGTATTAGGCAAAGTGATAAAGCATATGGTGTTTTGTAGTGTAAGCTGTATGTTGTATACAACATGTATTGTTGCATAAACTGTCTGTTGTTGTAAATATCATGTAAGGTGGCCTTTAGCAAGATGCAAAAGATACTGACCAATAAAATGGTGTAACCTGTAGCAAGAGAAACATTATTTTGTCACAATCCATGTCACTGCACATTGAGCATTCCCACGTCTGTTCAGTCCTTGCATGCAGTAACCACTCCAGGGTTCTTCTACTAATTGTTCCCATGAGAAGTTGATTGTAATGTCTCCTATCTCAGCGTAATAGATGTGCATTGCCATGCTTTACTCCCATTTCAGACAATCGTGTTAGTGTCAGAGATTCGAGTGTTACAATGAACTGTAGAATCTGTGTTTTTTTACATGCATATAAGACCTGGATAATAAGCAGATGAGCTGAAAAACATCTACTTATAGCTGGGAGGTGGTTTTGTAGAAGAATTCAAAGAATCTCATGAAATGATAGAAAAACCAAATTAGGCAGTCCCCTAGAAACAACTGAAAACTATAAACTGATGAAAGAAGTTGGGCATAGAGGCCGAAGATGTCTTGATAAGGAACAGACTCAAGAACTTGGTTTCATCTGGTAAGACTATAGGAGAAGAGCGAGGGAAAGGTGCAGAGATAAGTACCATATGGCCTGGATGGGACGAGACCATAGCACTGACCTGATACTTGATTATGGTGATTGTGTGAGATGTCAAAACATAACAGCCGGTTCTTAGCGGTATGGCACATGACAATGAAAATTTTATTTATTTTTGTATAAACCATGTATTGTTGTAAATATCACGAAAATGTTCGTGCTGTCTGATCGACATTGCTGATGAAGACACATTTTTAGACATGTCTAGCTGGTCCTGTAAAATGCAGTCATCATTTTTGGTCTTGTTAGGAGAAGAAGAAAGTGGAACATGTTGTGACAACTGGAAAGATTTGTGGAAAGAGAGATAGACGATGACAGCGTGAGAAGATTCTTGACAGCCTTCTGTTATGGCATTAAGGGGTGTCAATACACAAACTGATACATATAGTTGTAAATCACAAATTGTGGTCGCCCGCAGCAGTTGGCGAGACATTTGATTATGATGTGATCATTTGTTATAGTCCACTTTTCTGCAGTGAGGCGCTGTCGGCATGTGGAGGTGACAGGTTCGATTTTCGGCATGGCAACTATAGACTGATTTTTATGTTGTATTTGTTTTTCTATCTTTCTACGTCCTACTATGGATGCCAGTCAGTGCCTGTCTATGTGGTTTTATACACTGTATGGTTTAGTGGTTCTCCATATGTTTATTTCTGTTGTAACTATTACATGTTGAATGAATGTTGGATAGTTGTGTTAGCTATCGGTTGTTGTTGCATGAACCATGTTTTATTGTATTGTTCCAGTAACACATTAGTTGAACATGCTTTGTAATCTTACTCTGATGCATTCTGTCCTATCCGTGTGTGTTCTGGCACCCCATTTTCGGAGAGTTGGGGGGGGGGGGGGGAGAATAAACTCATTGTCTGTGTCAAGAAGCTGTTTACTGCCTTAAAAGTAATGGCTGGTATGCAACTCCATGACAGTGTGTCTATACAGATTTAGCCAATCCAACACCGTCAGAGTATACACATGGGCTTTTAATATAAGTACAAAAATGAACCAGGTGGTTTACCCTAGAGGTAGCTCACGCTAATACTCCGCCACAACCTGTCGGAATGCTTTAAAATCACCACCCACGTATTGTCCTTATGGCTGCTTCCAAGGTGTTCGCGGTTCCGAACCCTCTACCTTT